GTGATTTATTATTGAAATAAATATATAGGGAACAGTTCTGCTCTGTCCTACAGGGTCACTATGAATAAGAATCAACTCAATAGCAGTGGTTTTGGCCTTTGGGTTATGGCCCAATAAAGGAGAGCAGATATAACCTTGCCCAGTACTTATCTTGAGACTGAATGAAACCATTTCTTAAACAGAAAAGCAGTAAAACACTCTTCGGCCACAATGAAGAATGCTTGGTGTGATCAGTCCATTCACATAGATTTAAAATAAAGATCTAGGAAAGGAATATACTATCAATTCCATATAGAAATAAAGAAAAAGAAAACAACAGTGTTCTCAAATTCAAAACACCATGCTTGTAGAAAAATACTTTAAAAAGAGGCAAGGTTTAGCATAAGCATCGCAGAAGTAGCAAGTTTCCGAGGGTCTGATTACCTGAGTTTTAAATACAAAAAGGATTATTACAAGTGCATTCTTTGTAAAACTTTGTGACTCAAGTTTGTGCTGCCAGTCACCCTTTGCTCCTTACTGTGAATGCTCCAGCTACTGGTTTTTACATTTAAAAACATCACTGCCTTCCAGGTGATTCCCACACTTAGGGACCATATTGGGCAGAATGGAACCACCCCGTGGGGATGTAGCCTGCCCATCTCCCGCCCAAGCTGCCGAAGAACTTCAAGCCACCAACTCTGGTTAGCAGGTGGGTGCTAAACCACTGTGCTACCAGGGGCCTTTGCAAAACAAACTCATTGCCATTGAGCTGATCCCTAGTCATAATGACCACCCTGAGATCTCGGAGAACTGCCCATGAGTTTCCGAGACGGTCAGTATGGCCGGGAGTAGAGACAGACCCATGTTCTCCCCAAAGAGCAGCTGCTGGTTTTAAACTGTGGACCTTGTGGTTAGCTGCCCAGTGTGTAATCACCACACCCCCAGGGCTCCTTGTTTTTCTGTAGACCTTAATAACACTAAGTGACTGAAAAATATCTTTCACAGTAACAATATAACACCAGGAGCATGCCTTCTGTGTTAATACAAATAAAAGCAAATAGGTCAAGTACTGCTGGTCTTATATAATTCCAGGAGTTAATGTAAACCCAGGATGAGTATTCTGGAGTTCTCTTTTCAGGGGTGTCCACGACTGCGAAGCACCCTCTACAGTCTCAACTTGCCAATGGGCTGGGGGAGGCTGCGGTGGGAGCAGACGGCATGGATGTTGCTCTTTGTTACATAAAGGGACTTTCAAAAGTTCATGGGGAAAAACCCAGCATCTTTTATTTCCATTTTCCAGGGGCTACTTTTTGAAGCCCCTTCAAAATACATAAGTACATAAAATTATGATTAGTAATAACAATATTTAGGCTTCTCGTAAGTTACCATCGAATATCTCTGTAAAGGTACACCGGACAACCCTCAGGATTTAAAGACACCCTTCCAATAGCAACTTATATAAATGGCATGTTCTTAAAAAGAACATTAAGTTGGACAGATAACTATGCAAAATGATCCATTATTTTATTTCATTTTAAGATGAATACTTATACTTAAAAATAAAAATTTGTAAGACAACACAAACCACTCTGAAGTATTAATACAAGTTCGGTTTAGGATGGCGCTGAGCTGATTCTCTCCTTCTATCCTCTAGCTATGAATCAGTGTCCCTCAGAAGCTGTGGTGTGTGAAGCCTAGGCCCTACCACCCTCTCCTCTGGGATAGGTTAGGCTGACAGGGTCTACTGAGGAAGAACACACCAATTCAGAATGTAACCTTAAAAATGCCTTTTGAAAAGTACCAGGACATTAGCCGGTTATCACTTCGGGTGACCATTTTCATGGGTCTTTGAAACACCTACCTAAGAATGCAAAAAAAAAAAAAAAAAAACCATGCGTTTACTAGGAACGGTGGGTAAGGAAGGTAGAAAGGCAATTCTGACCTGTGTCCAGGCTTAATGGAGACTCAACATCAAGAGGGCAGCAAAAGGACTTGCAGTGCCTCTGCAGAAGGGGAGAAGGATGGAGGGCCAAGGGCTAGATGGTAAGAGTTCTGTCAAAGGCAGTAAGTCACACACTGTACCTCTGATTGAGTACTACTGACCAAAATGGGAATATTGACCCAGAACAAAATAACAGTGACACATCAGGCATCCAGAGAAGTCATAATTATCAAAGCAGAATACCGTAATGATTCAGACTACCAGACCGTGAACATAAGGTGACATCAAACTAGGGGAGCTTGAACTCCTGCAACCGTGGGTCCCACAATACACATTACTATTTCAACCATCCTCTTTAAATCAGATTGATTTGGATTGTTGCCAGGGTTTCACAGGATTGGCTCTTTGTCTACTAATAGCATAAGAAGCATTCGGAAGCTCTTTAAACCAATACAGAAACCACCATGGGAAAAATAACGGTTCTTCCTGACTTAAAAGTATTCACTTATAAAGCTAGTTTTTCTAATAAGGAAAAGAAATAATCATTTACTATTAAAGGTTGAATGCTTACTAATTTTAGGCCACGGATGTGAATCTCTTTTGACTGAGCACAACCTTAATGAAGCATCTGACAATCAGTGAGAACCAGTAAGGTAGCCTCTTGTGGGAGAGGGGTAACACCTGCTTTAGAAGTAACTGTGTCACATCAGTTTCACAGTCCTCATTAGGCTTTGGAGTATCTGTGGTAGTGCACACATCCAAAGTTCTACACAGGAATGGTGCATGACTGGAAATTGTCAAGTACATATTTTTTAATGTGACATGTCACTTGGCCCTTGTAAGCTCCATGTAAGATTGTCTGCCATAGGGCCTTTTCTTGGCAAGTCTAAGTAGGATCTGTGTTTCACACCCACTGGCTGGCGGGCTGAGGGGAGCAGCAGCAGAACAAAGATCATTTTAAATATTGCTTTGGACTGATGTCCATATATCATAGGTATCTCTGACATTTGTAATTTCTTGTAACATGAGTATTTAGATTCAGGGTTCATACACAAACCCCCTCCATTGAGCTGACTCTGACTCTTAGAGATCATGTAAGACACAGCAGACCTGCCCGCAGGGTCTCCAACTCTGAAAATCTTCTGCAGACGCAGACTGTCATCTCGTTCTCCCACGGAGCAGCTGGTAGATTTGAACCACCAATCTTTTTGTTAGCGGCCTAGTGCTTACCTTACTGCACCACAAGGGCTCCTAAGCCATGCTTCAAGAAAGGGTTAATCAGTTAGTTATACTGAGAGCTACTAGTGCCAAGTAAAAACACGGGCATCTAACTACTCGAGGCATAAGCAGCTCATGGTAATGCCTTCTACAGATAGATTGGAATTCTAAGAGCTTAGTCCTTAGGGCATCTTTTCACAACTGACAATAAAATTAGAAAAGTTGTTTTGCTTTTGTTTTCTTTTAAATTCCACACTTGGAAATTACCTTGCTGCTGTTAAAAATTATTCTTATGGAAATATAACAATTTTAAAAAAGAAGAAGATTTCTAAACCTGTAGTATAGGACTTCTTATGATGCCAATCGATACGGTGCTCTACAGATGAATATGATTTGAGAGAGGGAGGTTCTGTCACGTGGTCTACCTGGTCACCATGGTGTTTTGCTTGAGCTGAATCCCTGGGCAGATCCACATTCTCCACACTGAAACCACCGAGGAACCAGACTTTTTAGATATGACCGTTCTTTGAGCTTGTCAGAAGAAAAGTGTTTTATAAATTCAAGCTGTTCGTGGATGTAGGGAGTGAAACAAATTACTGTCACATCAAAATAATAATTGTCCTAACTTTTTAAGATAGAGCTCCTAATGTCCAATATAGGTTGTAAGATACTGACATTCAACTATTCAGATTCATCTAGAATTAAAGTACCTGGGGGAAGTACAAGAATTCTGTTGAGAAATACAGGTATATAAATTAATGAAGCTGGTGTTGAAAAGATTTAACACAAGGGAAAAAGGACTGTTTGGTGGTACTAATTCTTCATACATATTATGTACAGCATTATGTAATTTTAAAGGTTCTTCACATTATTGCTCAAGACCACAGTTGTATGAACAAGTTCGTGACGTACATTAAAATATGGAGAATTGCAGGCTTATAAAAACAAACATTTACATATAGCCCAGCCAGAAATTTTAAACAGTTTTAATGCATGGAGGTATGTATAGCTAAAAGGAGGGGGAATAATGTGTGTGTGTTCAAAAAACCCAAGTTGGCATGATTCGAACATGTCACTCTTCAATCCAAAGTATACAGTTAAGTGGGCAGAAAGTGAACTGGTGGACAGAGATATCACTATGCCCCCCACAGTTTAGTGATAAGCTGTCCTAAATCTCAGAACGGTATTAAACACCAGCTAATTTCCATTCCAGAACTTTTGCTTTCTTTTAAAGGCTTTTCAGAGACATGGGGGGCGGGGGACTTTTAAAAGTTCGTGAAAATGTAGGATTAAAAAATGATTATTTCCACAAACTTGGTGGAGGGCCTTCATGCATCCATTCCACAATTATGTTAGATTGGGAGAAGTTGGGGTTTTTTTTCTTAGAAAAATTTAAAAGGAATATGCCCATACTTTTGTCAGAAGGAGGCCATTATTATCATCATTCTTGACGAGAAATACATAGGTGATGATGCGACTCTAGATCTTGATCCTGAGCACTCATGAGCAGCAGCTGCATGCACACCACTCACTTGTTGCTCGTCTAAGCTAATAAAGGAATTCCGGCGGGCCTTCCTAGCTGTGAAGGCAGAAATACTTTCAAACTTCCTTTTGTTTACTGATTGGGGCTTTACCATGATTACTGATCCATCTGCTGTAAACAGAGCATTAGGAAGTACAAGAGAAAGGGACTGCAAGCTCCCAAATGGCTATGAAGAGAATTTATTATTTAAAAGTAATGAGCATGTTCAATTTAAAACAAAAGACTTATAGAGGTGCTTTTCTGTGTGAAGGTGTTTATAAATAAAGAGCTCTATATACCTGGGGAGGTAAAATAAAAAACGCTAGCCACTTTTTAGGCTAAGTTCAAATGTATTTTTTTGATAATACAAAAAAGTAATCCTTGAAATCAGAATACATAACAGAAAAGAGCACAATAACTTAAGTATTAAACATCTGTATGAAATAACTGTTGCAAAGTTTGACAAAAATGCACACTTAGAACATGCGGTTATTTAAAAACAAACAAAAACAAAACAAAACACCACACGATTCTGTAGAGCAATGTTATGTCACCATCAGGAGAGCACCAAGCAAGGCACCATTGGAAAGACAACATACTTGGAAAGTCTCTAGAAATCAAGTCAATGCTAATCGGGTCGGAAAATTGGTGTCTTTGGTAAAAATTCTATGAGGATGACCTGTAGAAAGAGGAAGAAAAGAGTTTTAAGATTTAAACAGACATTTATCTTCATAAAACTTTATGTTCCATCGGTTTGTTTTTGAAAATTCACAACCATAACTTTGCCCCTTGAGAATTTTTCTTTCTGAATTTTCACCAAATAAGCAGCATGTTTCCATTCGCTCTGTACTTTGTGAAAAGGAAGGCAGCTAAGTGGGTGAAATAAGCCAGTATCTGGGAGAGTGAGTGAGGAGTGGAAGGTGGTAACCGGAAGTGTCCCTAACACACGGGAGTTTGAATGAATCAAGATGGGAGCTACATTTCCTGAGAACAAACCTCATGCTGAGGGGTTTTCATTCTAAATGGACCCCTTTAATCCCAACAACTTTTCTCCTTTTACAGATGAGGAAATTGATGATCTAGTTAGTTCAGACCATAAATAGTGGAGTCAAGATTTGAGCATAGAACGGACTTGACTGCAAGGCCCTGCTCACCCTTCCTATTACACTACATCATGTGGCTGCAGTTGATCCAGTATTTCTCCTTTCTCGATAAACGAACCCAATTTCATGGGACTTCTTTGGGTTTTAGAATTACTCTCATTTTCCTGTACCAGGATCGATAATCTCTAGATAAAAGGTACTAGTACCGTATATATTCAAGTATAAGAAGAGTTTTCCAGCACATTTTTAATGCAGTTTTTGTGGTAAAATTAGGTGCCTCGGCTGATATTCGGGTCAGCTTATATGCGAGTATATATGGTATTTTAATCTTACTTTTAAAAATCTTTCCCCTAGGTTAGTAAAATTGCACATTAGATTTTGTTCCAACGTCCACTAAAGAAAACCAAACAAAAGCAAAACAGAAATGCGCTCGACGACCAGGGCTGATTCCCAAGCAACTCTCTCCTTTGCTCCAACTCCATAAGGAGTGGATGCTAACCAAAAATCACTTGATTTGAACAGCTTCCAAGTTTGGTGAACTCTTCATTCTTTTTCAGAACCTCTGTCCTGTGTCCTAATAGGAGAGCCCTAAGGGCACAGAGGTTACTCACTGGGATGTGATCCGAAAGGTCTGAAGTTCAAAGCCTGCCACTTCCCGGCAGAAAAACAAGACTTTCTACTCCCCTAAAGAGTTAGTTTCTGAAATTCAGAGACAATCGTACCTTGTCCGATAGGGTCTCTATGAGCCACAGTCGACTCAATGGCAGAGCATTTGGGGATTTTTTTTTATCCCAATAGGACCTCCAGGCTTGGAAACTTTTCTACAGTTGTCCCTCCAAACCAGGAACCTTTGTTTTCAACTCGTGAGCGCTCCTGGCTTTTGGTGTGCCTGATAAGGAAGGCAGGTTCTCCTGTATGTGGACCAAAGGTAGCCCCCACTAGCTGAGCTAGCCTACACTACATTCTAGGAGCCATTCTTCTGCCCGCTCTTGATTTGTTATTTTCCAACAAGCAACTTGCTGGCTTCACTCTTCAAATACATTCTTCCCTCTGGCTAGACCTCCCCAAAACTTGGTGTTCTCGTTCATAAAACAAAGAGACTGGCCTAGAGGACAAGATTCTTTGAAGCCCTAAAATGTGCTGGTTAAATACTTAAACTTGAGGATCAACTTGAAATAACTACATGAAACATTCTGCAAATATGTCCTTGATCGAGTCCTCTCAATAATCTCAGTCCTCAGGTGCAGGTATTACACAGTACAACATGAGCCAAAATACAACCTCAAGTATTGTTTCATAAAGAACATAGCCTATAAAAATGATTTCCTTCAGAAACCATATCTCTAAACCATGCCTCTCTACTTAATGGGGAGATAGAAAATTTGATATCGAGTGGGTAATCTTTTCTAGATTATCTTCATATTCAAAATGTAATTGAGAAGCCTGACTTTCCTCTATTAACAAATAGAATATCCAAAAGTTAACGGAAAACTAAGTTCAAAGAAGAATATGTGTTAAAAGGCCCAGATTCATTAAACCAGTAGATTGCTTGCTATTTTAATTATATTAAAGGGAGTTCACCAAACTACGTTCTTTCCTTTTTGTTCATCACAAACATGAGGACATCTAAAAAATATTTTTTAAAAGAAAATTTTAAATAGTCTTTGTTCTTATTATTCTCATGGCTATCTTCTATAGTACTGTCAAAAATGATAAAATGTTAAAAATGTTTATCTAAAAATTCAAAGCAAAGAGTTTAGAATATCTTGGAAGGTTACTAGGTCTTTAACTAATAAAAGAATGTGCTAAAATAAAGAAACAAAATTAACATATTTTATGGATACATGGTAACCACCAAGTTTTTGTACAAATAATGAGCGCTCTATGTTTGTGTGTCAACTGCACCCACGTGACAGGCCCCCACCACCACCACCACCAATCCTGTGTTTCATAAGCTCACAACAATAGAAGCTTAGCTTGCTTAGGAGATACTGGGGGAGAATGCATGGCTGGTAAACAAATGTGGACGGTGCCTAGCTGTGTAAAATACAGCACATAGCGTATCAAGGGGTGATGAATGGTAGGTAGGAGCAACTTTAGTTTTCTTTTCCCAAGTAAACTTAGAAAATACACACACAAATAGGGCAAAGCCTCAGCTTAGTGTTTGGATTTATAAATGTAGCAAATGTTTTATGATACAACCTTTTAACTACCCATCCCCCTGCCCAAAATACATATAGAAACGTTTACAATCCACAGTGAAAACTGAAAAAAAGAATTTTCATAGGCCAATCTCAACACACCCTACTTGGAGGTGTGTTTTATTTCGCAACTATAAAGAAATACGATGTGTAGTTCTCATCATCATAAATTAACACGTCTGATATAATAGATAATGATATGAAAAATCTACATTATTCAGTTTACTGAATAGATCTATGAAAAAAAGGGGGCATTCTTAAAAGGTCTTTTATGTTCAAGTCTAGAAATGGAATTAGACTGTGTGATAATGAAAGGGGAAGTTCTAACAGAAAAATGATTTTACGATAATTTCCAACTATTTAAACACTGTTTTAATCAATCTCTCTTTTAAACGTACATATCCCAGCAACGCAGCAGACACTGTTCAGAGAACCGATCAGACTCACTGGAAATGGTCTGCTGGGTACTTCACAAAGGCGATGGCTTTCAGGTTCAACAATTAACCCTTTCTTTGATCTTTTTCTGTTTGTTTGTTTTTGTAGTAGCATTTTCATATTTAAAATAAAAGATTCAAACTCAAGGGAGAATAAATTCTAAAATACTAATTGTCTCGAATATCTTAATTTTCAAGAGGACAAACATTGCTCAAGTAAATCAGAGTCAGCTGGGTAGTTTCCATCCCATGCTGCACAGTTCCAAAAGCCATTGTATACAAATGCCAACTTAAGATATCTTGTCAAGAATAACATGATCTTTTAAAGAATAAACTCACTGAGCAACATCTCATCTCCTCACTTATTTTTCAGATAACTTTCACAAAACAATGTTCTAATAAGACTTTGAAAGATTCTTTCCAGGACCCTGAGGTCTGGGCAGTTAAACTGTATAAAGGGTAAAGGGTTCTTAAGCTCCAACAGTTTGGTTGAAAGGTTTCCTTCCATACTTGGAAACTTGATTAGCATTATATAAAAAAAGCCATATCTGACTTGCTGCGTAACCAAAGTTGTGGTTATTCTTTATATAGCATCTAAAATTTCACACTCCATCAACACATGTTCAGCCTATTTTATCTTGGCAATTAATTTATTATTTTTCAGAACACAGTAAAGCCTTGTTTTCAAGTCATTCATAACTTTATAAATCAGTCTTGCACATGAAACCATGCATCTGTGAACCGTAGAAAATCTTTGCACTCAGGAGATTAAGCGCCTGACACCTTTGCTGATTAATAATCATGAAAAGAATAAGATCAGAAGCAAAATAAATGATCATTTAATAGAGAAACTCACAAAACAGCCCTTTAACTTACATATTCCATCATGTTATTCGTTTCACATTTCCTTTTGCTCAGTCTCCAGTGCAAGCACAGCTAGACAAGAAAGACAGTAAAAGAAGAAAAATGAGCTCGGTTTTATTGCAGCCCACAGACTAGCCCATTTGTCCACCTTTCATATTTTCAGTTCAACAAAAGCATCTGTTTCCATACTGTGCAGTTCAGAGCCCAACAGTACGAAGCTGCTCCCTGTGGTACTCACCTTGTGGTATAACCTATTGTTTTCCCATTCTAATAACTTCTCAATCGATCTTCGTGTCTGGAAGACAAATGAGAAAAAAGTTTACTCTTGACTGGTTTTAGAAGAACTTTGGTTTGCAGCTGCTTTGTGTGTGAAAGGCGGAGAGGTATAAGACAGTGACAGAGTACAGGGTGGTCTGCTACACTATCAATGTTCTGACACTAAATAGAAACCAGAACAGAAGATACGTTTGGGTTTTGATCATGTCTTAACTGTTTTAAATGTATTCCCCCCTGACTTAAAACCATCAGCAACAGAAAAAACAATTAAAAGCTAATATTAGCTACCAAACGCTATCAATTTATAGCCCCACTTCTTTCAACAGTAACTTTGCAAGGCTTGACCACTAGTATCTGTTTTTAAACAACGGTTATTTAAATGCTAGTTAATAAAAGACAAGTGGTTTTTCAGGAGAATTAAACAAATAACTAAAAGTTAATAAATTAACAGGTCAATGTATCGCTAATTCTCACATGGCACTTAGAAAGAACATCCCGGTTTAAAAGGCTGGTTGATGAGCCCACATATGGATTGTTCAGACAGAGCCCAAGCCTCACTGAAACTAACAGAAAAGTGACACTGAAGAATAAAGTCAAAACTCTGTATTCAGGACTGCTGCCTTCAGGACACAGAATTTTTTACCATTCAGGCTCAATTGACTGTTGCAATACATGCTATGCAGCATGAAACGGGTTCTTGGTACAGAGCATGAATAAAGGAAAGGACAATTCATGGGGCCAGGTGTTAGGATGAGACAGACACAGCTGCAGGTGCAGAAAGGACAGCGTTGCCACCAAGATCACTGCAGCTCCAGGCAGCTGCGGCTTGGGTACCAGGGAAGAAGAAAAGCATCTAATGTTGCTAATGCAACACAACAGTAAACAAGCACCAATGCTCAGGAAAAGTCAAATGCCATATATGCAAAGGATGAGCTAGGTGACAGTACAAATTGCAAGCACTAAGGTGGCTTTGAGTCATTGCTTACTAAGTAAATGTGAATACTTCCTTAAAGTACCTACTCTACAATCTAGTTACCTAAAGACCCATAGGTGCTCATTATAAATCATATGGGATATGAAGTGCCTCTATCACCTCATATATTTCCCAAGCGCATGCCATTAAAATTCAAGGGGAAAAAAATCAACTGATGTTCTGGGCAATAATTCGGCAATGATTAATTTATTACATTGCTTTTTTGGAACAGTCTTTTGGGCAAGAATTTTGGAAGGAAAAAAACGTGCCCTTGTTCACAATGCTCAGCAGACCTCACTTGTTTCTTTGTAAAGATAGCCTTTTAGAGGCAGCTCTCCTTTTAAATGAAAATAGGGCAGCAGTTATGGTCACACTTTTTGTTAATTTAGTTGCCAGTCAGCCCCAAATCAAAAGAAAATAAGGCTGCAGAGTGTAATTAACATTCAGTTCAGTCGTTTTGTCCCTTGTCTAGCCCCCAAGCTTTGTTAAAATTGCCATCTGAATGCTGAAGGCTGTAGGGAAATCGATTTGATTCTAATCGCACCATGAAAAGAACATGATCTAACTGCTTTCAGCCCTCCGTAAATCTGTACTAGGTCTTTAGCACAATGCAACTTCCAATTTAAAAAGCACTGAATGTCTCGTCAATGACTTTGTGAAGAAAAAAGAACAAGGAGCAGACATAAAAATTCCAATAGTTGTTTAAGCATTAAAGTTCATTTGCATCACAGCGAACCTGAAAAGGGCTGACCTCTCAAACCGCCTCTCAGGTCTATGAAGTTGTAGCCTTGACAAGCTCACATTGACAGAGCTCATTGACTCTGAAAGGCTACTCTATCAATGGTGAAAAATGGCAATAGGTTCTACTCTGAGCAGGCATCTGCCTGCCCACCCGCTGCTAAACCAATGGCAAACCTGATTCAAAACCTGAATCTACCTTGTAATCTTCCTTTCTAGGACTTTTTAATAATAGATTAAGATTACTATACAATTTGAGGGTTTTACTTTTACTGATGATTTCAGAAAAAAAAAAGAGGAGGAGGGGGAAAGCCATGAAAGAACTATGGTGGGGAGAAGCCAGTCGCTTGCCAAATCTGTTGTTTACTAAGAATGTATAAAAATTGTGCCCACCAAAGGCGCAACATTGCATTCTGCAAACATTTCATTCAGAGAAGTAACTGGCATTACCACCACCGTCATTCCATCACAAATCTAAATCCATGCTACATCATGACAATGGATCTCATTATGATCTATATACGCAATCAATGGAGAATTAATTTTACTTTTTACTTTAAATAACTTACAGCCACTACCAGTGTTTCATTAAAGGATAATTATGAAGTATGAACTGTGAATTCTAAAATATTTATGTAGGAATTCTGAACTTATTCTTTGCCTCTAATTGAGTGTTTGATGATAGGGTTTGGTATAATAACTCTATCTTGCAATATTTCAGAGTTCCAAACCAAAGCACGCCTGGGCTGCCAAATTCTGAATAAACATCTAACGAGAAACTATTCCTGCACACTTGGCGGCCTGGAGTAAAAGCTTTAGTAAGACAGCACCCTCCAATCTTGCTATGAGACTTCTCCCCTGTTTGACAGGTGCGGGTAAAAAACAAAAAAGCACTTGCACGTGCAGCTTAATTAATCACCGCACTTGACATCTCAGTGATTTACAGTGAAGGGCAGGTGAGCACACACAAAACCAAAAAGGAACCCTTGATTTGAGTGGGACATTTCTAGCACACTAAGGTGACAAGAACATGAATTCTAGCAGTCATTTTTAAAAGAAAAAAAGAGAAAAAAACTGTGCCACAAATTATTTGTTCATAACAACAAAAGCTCAAAATAAGTGGGGGCTTGGGGGGCTTCAACCGATACTATTTAATACCCTATAATTATTTTTAGTTAACAAAATCAAAATATATTTCAATATTACATACAATATAAATTCGTCAGACACTGAAAAACTATGACACTTTAGCATTTATAATAGCTAGTTAAGAGCCTTTCAGCATGTGGAAAAAAGCACATTATAAGTGCAACTAGTAACAACCAAGTTAACAGTTTTATGTCCACAGGGCTGCCGTGTTTCCACTGACAGATGATCTGTGAGGTGCAGCACTGACTCACTCTAGGGCAATGGCTCTCAACCTTCCTAATGCCGCGACCCTTTAATACAGTTCCTCATGTGGTGGTGATCCCCCAGCCATAAAATTGTTTTCACTGCTACTTCATAACTGTAATTTTGCTACTGTTATGAATCGGGCGACCCCTGTAAGAGAGTCGTTCGACCCCCAAACGGGTCGTGACCCACAGCTTGAGAACCGCTGCTCTAGAGTTACTGGTAGACAAGTCATATAAAAGTTGGTCCTTAATTTTGTAATGTACACAGCCATCTCTAAATCTTCCAAAAGGGTTACAGAGAGTTATGCATCAGAAAAAAAAAATTAGGGAAAGCAAATGTTTTGAGAATGATGAGGGAAATGAATGTACAAATGTGCTTTACATAATTGATGTATGTATGGATTGTGATAAGAGTTGTATGAGCCCCTAATAAAATGATTTAAAAAAAAATTGGGGGGGGTTGCTGATAAGATCTTTCGACATGTAATGCTACCATAACATCATCTCTCCATATGCTAGGGCAGTCAACGTCTAAAAATAAGTCATTTTAATTTTTTAAAAAGAACTTAGAGCTGTGAAAAGCACCCGGTTGATAATCATGGGAATTAAAATCTCCTATGAACTGAAAAAAGCTCCTAAAACTGAAAATCTCCTCTGAACTGGGGAAAGGGCAGTGCGGACGCTAGCCTGAGCTTCCCTCCAGTGGGCCTTAATCCTTGTCAGCACTTGCACCGTGGGGGTGAGAGAACAGGTTAGGGTCTTTTACCAAAGAACCCTCTGTCCTCCTGCCGCAGAGCATCAATCCGACATCTAACTTTAGCGTGGAATCCGACCCTTAACTGACAGACCTGCGAGAGGCCGCCACTCACACCACACAAGCATAACTACGCTTCTCTAAGAATGAGGTTAGAATTTGATCTTCCAGATTTTCTCTATTTGAATGCTATTATTTAGTAAGAATATGAGATGTGATCACATAAACCATTCATTCTATTTCAACTTTACACTTATGTCATTGTAACAGATTTCATTTTAACAGATTACTGTTACTTTTTTAAAAAATTAATAAAAATATAATAAATTCAACTTACACTAGTTTGCCCCATTCTACCATCATCTTGGGAATTACCTTAATTACAGTCAAAATTATGACTCTCCAGATAATTTCTTCTAGTTACAGGTTCACTACATGCTCATATATTATAAAATGGGGGAAAACCCCACAAATAAAGGAAAAATCCCCTGTAATTTTATTAATGATAAAGGTAACCATTTAATTTTTCTAATGATACGTTCTTACATGGTAGTAATAATTCTTACAAGTAATTACCATATATACTCATGTATAAGCCGAGTTTTTCAGCACATTTTGAATGCCGTTTTTGTGGTAAAATTAGGTGCCTCGGCTGATATTTGGGTCAGCTTATACTCAAGTATATATGGTATTAATTAATACCACTTTTTAAAAAGTTTTACAAATGCTTTTCTATTTTATCCTCACAACAATCCTATTCAGGAAGGCAGATGAGTATTATCATTTACAGATGTAGAAACCAAGGTTTAAAGGAGCCCTGCTGGCACAGGGGTTAAAGTACCTGGTTGCTAACAGAAAGGTTGGCAGTTCAAAATCACTAGTGGTGCCAGAGGAGATCTAACAGTTTGTTTCTCCAAGTTTTAGAAATAGAATGGGACCATTCTACTCTATTCTATGGGGTCAATATGATGGCAGTGGGCTTGATTTGGTTAAAACAAGGTTTAAAATGGTTATGAAACATGCCTGAGGTCAAAAGGTTAGAGAGGAAAGTGAGAGACTGAACTGGGCATCTTACATCAAGATACTACTATATCCCCTCCCATCACCAAAACCAACCCCACTGCCAACACAACACTACAGTCTACTCTGTGTTCTTAATTTCCTATATCTTAAAATATATATATTTACATAGCACATCACTTTTAATGACTACTTAATAGCACATGTGAATTGTATGTGGTTATAATGTACTTAACCCCTCCTCCACTGGATCAAATTATTTTTGTACAGCATTTTGGCTGTGATTCATTTAATACAAAGAATAAAAACTAAATAAATAATGTAGGATTTGCTCATCTACTTCTACATTTAAATTAAAATACATCATTCAACTTACTCTTTTACTGAGGCAAATAACCGGCCACATACTGCAGCCTAATGTGCAGCAGCAACAAAGGCAGCCACAGAGTAGCCAACGGACATTAATGGGAAGGTTCTTCTTAAGACAACTGTTAACTCTGTTGATACTGGCTTTAAATTCTTCAGGAGCTACCTATGGGGGGAAAAATTAGAAATAAAAACGCTGCAATATTAATATCAACAAATGTTTCATGAACATATTCCCCCCACTTAGTTTGTTAGTAACAGACTAGTTTTGAAGCATACAGATTCCTAAATAATTGACACTCACTTTTCCAGTTAGTGAAGAGGGGAATTCTGATTCAAATTTGTTGCTTAGTCCAAATCTGTTTTAAAAAAGAGAAAAAGAAATACATTATTGTATATCATTGCTGGAAAAATATTAGCTATTTAAATAATTTAATCAAAAGTCAACAGCATTTTACTAATATAATCATAATGTTTCTATAAGAGGCTGAACGTTAATTAACCACCAGTGGAGAAGCAAGTATAGACCTGGTGACGATGATTAAAGTGCTAAACTTCAAACCACCAGGCTGGCATTTCAAAACCACCAGCACGGCAAGTCATGAAAGGAAAGCATGGCGGTCTGCTTCCATAAGATGTACAGCTTTGGAAACTGTATGCGGCGGTTCTCTGTCCTCATGGGCTGCTGTAAGTCAAAATGAACTCCAGTGCAGTTGAGTTTGGCTTGAGTTTGAACCTAACCACTGCCATCAATCAGCCTTGATTCAGAGTGGCCCGCTATACAATAGAACACAGTACTGCCCGGTCCTGTGCCATCCTCACAACTGTTTGAGTCCGTTGTGGCAGCCACTGTGTCAATCATTCTCGTTAAGGGTCTTACATTATCTTTATATGTTAAATGTTTGGTACACTACCTGATGAATAAGTACTCAATAAATATTTGCTAAATAAATTAATCCATTTCTGAACCAAATGAAACATAACATTCTACTAACTCCTTCACTAACTCTGTTACTAAAAAAGTCCAACCTACCAATCCTTCTCCCTCAGGTCCCAGGCTCTCTGATTATACCACCTTGCTCCAAACACCAACCACTGTAATTTCCAGCCCTCGGGCCATTTCCTGTGTTAACGGTTCCCAAGACAACTCCCAGGTTCACTAGGAGGTCTGTCTCCCAGAACAGTATCCAGTTCTACTTCCTACAAAAAAACAAAACCAAACGCACTGCCAGATGGCAAATGGCAAAAATTGCAGCCCATAGCAACTCTAAATAGGGTTTCTGAGACCATAAATCCTTACTAGGGCAGACAACCTCATCTTTCTCTTTTAGGAATTGGCTTTGAACCTCAGACCTTTTGGTTAGCAGGCTTTTTATCTGACAACACCATCACCAGGGTTACATGCCTTGGCTAAAATTCTTGAGTCCCAAAAGGAAAGTCACACAATGTTTAAGAAGGGGTATCGATAAAACCGGGAATGTTTTTCCCCAAAAGATATGCATTTAAATTTTTTT